AATGGAGAACAACTGACCGAGGCCAACTGCTTCGTCAGCTTTTTCAGTCCGCTTCTCCAAATCTTAGGTTGTCCACCGTCTTCCACAACCCCTGTTCAGCAACCGTGAACAATATATGACGCGGAAGACGATGCGCAGGTTTGCGCAATACTTGCCCAAGCCACGGCAGTTGACGCGGTGAGACGAGTTCCTCGAGCAAGTGGCTGCTTTCATCCAAGATACACGGTCTAACTTCCACATTGGTTACTTGGTGCAGGCACCACACACAATGGACCGCAAGCAACCGTGCTCAAAGACAGACAGCTGGCGCAGGTCAACCGTTTGAACAAGCCATATCTCGCAACCGTACAACACTACAGCGCGAACTGTCACACAATAAGCCCACCGTTTGTTGGATACACGGATGTCATGGCAGCACCGCACGTGCCTCAGTCTGGAGAAACCCAGACGAGCTCTTGAGGTACACAACCAAATCTTATTTGCACCAGTTCTACCAGCATTGATGCAACATCTTAGGTAGCCGAACCTATCCACAATCCTCAGTGTAATCTTCTAAGGGATTCATCCCAATAGTTCACAAGCTACGTAGCACAGTGTCTCGCACCCTACAGTGATGAAAGCTACAGGTATCTGCCATTCTTAAAAAATGCTTTGCACCTGGATGGTGAAAAGTGCATACCATGCTTCGACGCTTCAATTGCCAAGCGGTTCTGTGCATCTTTGACGACCTGTGGAACGTCACCCAGCAAGTCGATATCATGCACTTAGTCCAGCTCGACTACCTGGGAGGAAGGTGATAGCTTCCCATCTGCCTTAACTCTACCCGCGGTCAGGCCGTACATAGGATGCAGTATGGAAACGAACTTCCCATTGACGCCATTCCTCAACAGACAGTGTCACCATGCTCTCCTGTCGACAGAATCGAAGGTATCACGGATATCCAGGAACACAACAGTCGTTGGTTTTTGACACCCATGGCGAAATTCGAGGATCTGGCGGAATGTGAAAATTTGTTCGATGCAGCCCCGGAACACAGCCTGTTCTTCCCACTGTAGCAATTCGCATATTGGGGATAGCCTACGAAGTATGGTGGACACCGTAAGCTTGCAGACGACGGGAACCAAACTTATACCTTTGTAGTTGGCGCACACTGTACGCAGGCCCTTTTTGAAAATCGGGACGACTATTAACTCTCACCCAAAGACAATGTAACCTCCACTCTTGACCATACTTCTGAGAACAAAGTGATGAGTTTTCGAACCAGAGAATAGCCATCATCTTTAAAGAGAGCAGGTAGCAACCATCAGGGCTGAGTGATTTATGACGCTTCACTAGATGGCGTTCCTACCAGATTTCCTAGTGATATAGGGAATCTCTGGGGATAGACCACTCATAACCAGTGCGCGCTCCGGAGCAAGTGGATGGAGCTGGAGACCAACAACTGCGCGCCAAAATGTTCAACCCATCGTTCCAACCGTCATTAAAGATTAATGCTTAATGAGTCATCCTCTTCGCAGATTGTTTCACCCACAGCAGACCGGAAACCTTCGGTGACTCGAATGATGTGGAAGTTTTATGGTCTTACCAGATAGAATAGCAAATTCCATTTCTCTAGCACACCCATACCACAAGGCTTCACGGTCCTTTTGCAAATGTCTGCGTAATTTTCGATCCAGGGAACAATGTTCTTCACTGCAGCGGGCGTCTGCGGGGACGGATCGACGTCCATCCATCAACGACAAGGAGACAGCGGTGATCAAGCTTTCTGGTGGGTTACTGGCAACTTCACAACTGTCAGATCCTCGTCAGAAAATGAGTGAAGCAACGTTTACAGTAGGGTCTGGCACTTGGCTAACGTTGTAGGATTTTGTAGGTTTTCCACATTCGGTCGGTTATGCATACGGCTGGGCGATCTTCTGGAGCGCATTCAAATCTTGGCGCGAACCATTGCATGATCGGAGTCCAAACAAGTTGACGAGTATGGTCAGCAATCTGTTGCGCTTCCGCACCGTTTGTACTTTATTGCTTTGTAGTCAAGCTGAAACCACTATTGCGTTTGAGAAGGCGTGCGCCAGGTAGCAGTCCATCTCTTCGCATGTCGAAAATAGGTGCTCTAAGGAAACAAGCAATGGTCAGAACAAGGAGTCGATAGTCTGTCTCTACCGAGGACAAAACTGCTCACAAGATAGTGCTCGCTTGGTGGCGGGCAATCCACTATTGCGTTTTATTTTGAAGGCCGAAATCTATGGAAGCATAGGCGTGGACGACAAATGAGTCTCTCGTGACATCTCAACGCTTATTTAACTCACATGAATCTCGTAATCTGACTGAATTTAACCGACTTTTGATTGGGATTCAGTCAAGCAAAGCGGCCTCAGTACCGTCGCTCAATTCTACTCCAACACCAGTCTGGCCAGAAGTAACAGCCTCTGGGTCATCGAAGAAGCACAAAATAGTATTTGACGTCAGAGTTTGCCAGAGTGATCATTCTACTAACAGTACTGGAGTCTTGCCATCTGATTTACGAGAGGCAACAGATGTCTACCGGGATCGTCCCAAGGGTGCGTGTCAGGCAAGCTTGCCGTTTGATTTGCATCAGACTGCGAACAATGAATGCTGCGAGGCCGAATGGGGAACCAGGTCGAGGAAAAGTTGGAGCCTCGGTGAAGTGTGAGTAACCGGTGATCACCGGGCATCGAATTGAGTACTGATTACTGGTTGAAAACAGCAAGTAGAGTTTGCTCTGTGTAGCTGCATCTAATGTCACACAGCAAGAAAGACCCGTTATGTGTTGCGCTCAATATATTTTATGTCGGTAAAGTGTTTGTCCAAGAATTTCTTAAATTCCGACACCGCCTTTGCCACAACTACGTGCTGCGGCAGGTCGTTCCAGACATTCACCACTGTGCATTGGAAACAGAGTTGGTGAGCGATTCGCTTCAAATCCGGTACAACAAGCTTGTACCGGTGTCCTCGTGTGCTGTTTGGTGTGCGCAGATGAAACAGCGGTCTCAACATGGGGTAATCTCCCAGATGTAATATCCGGTGCGTCATGATGTGGTCAGCCCTCAGTCGACGATAAGCTAGGGTGTACAGCCCTAGTTTCTTACACCGGTCTTCGTACGGCACACATCGTAAGTTGGGAATCAGCCTGGTGGCTACATGCTGCACTCGCTCAATCTTTTCTACCTCGCCCCTGGTGAGGACAATACGCGGGAGTACCATACTCTAGCATTGGTCGTATTATTGAGACAAAGAGGCGAGTGACAATCTCTTCGGACCAAGTGCTGAAGCTGCGCCTGAGCGCCCAAATCATACGAAGGCTGTTTTGGTAAAGCCTATTCATGTTGTCCATGGACTTTAGGTCGTAGCGTGAGAGTACACCGAGGTCGCGCACAAAAGGCGCGGGATGCAACGGTTGACCGACCACCGTGTATGTTCTACTGTGCTCACACTTACCCAGCCTCATGAATTGCGACTTGACCGGGTTGATCGAAAGATTGGCCTCTGCAGACCACGCGGAGAGGCGATCGAGGTCTTGCTGAAGCAGTTAACAGTCATTGGGTGTGTGGATTACTCTCCACACCTTCAAGTCATCTGCGAACCACGCACAAGGTGATTGGAGTAGCTGAGGTACATCGGTTACATGGATCAGAAACAAAATCGGCCCCAGTACAGTGCCTTGGGGCACCCCACTGCTCGATGGATACCAGTCAGTCAAATGGTTGTCCACCTGGACTCCACTTTCGATCAACAAGGAAATTCTTGTCCATCGGTGCAGCCCAACTCAGGCTATCTCCAACTGATGAGTCCCAACCAGGACGAAACCGCGGTCTTGGGGTGCCAGTGTTGGGATGAGCAACACTATAATGTTTCCATTTTATTTACGGTCCTTGCGATCCGAATGACCGAGGTCCACCTCAAGTGAACTGAGGTCTCAATAGAGGTTGTTTGTAGCAACCCAACCACCAGCGGATTCTCCAAGTCTAACTTTGAAAACAGGTCCTGTTTGTCCAACCTGTTCACGTGTATTTGTAGCTCCACTTGCACATAGTGTTTCATCTTCCGTTTATTGGAAGAAGGCCGATGTGAAGACTTGATGTGAAATACAGTAGCGCTAAACAGAGTAGACTGACTTACCTCGGCATTCTTGTTTACGTTCCCGTGTGACAACTCTTCGAACACGGCAATACTATGTCGGAGCGTCTTACTCACATGAAATGAGGGAGTTCTGAGCGGAGTCCCAGATGTGTCTGGTCTATACATGTGCTATATTTTTACTCAGCGACCAATTGTTGTCACGGTACGTGGCAAGTTCTGCGAGCGAAACCGACGCGCGGGCTGTTGACAGAATCCAATCATCGCCGTGTGTGCGCAACTTGACCCCACAATTACACGGGGGTAAATAAGCAGTAAGGAATTGGTTTGCAAGTATGTGCGTTAAGCGCGATTTTTGCCCTGTACAAAAGCAAGCGAGCTGCCCATACCGGACACTGACACTGAACGGACAGCACATGGTGCTATGGGGGCTGAGCGAGCGTAACAAATGGGGCCAGACGGTAGAAAGCAGCCAATCAGCGCGTAGCCGGCACAAACGGACCACATTCACCAAGACCGCGTGAATCGACCAGAATGGAATTGGGGTGTTGTGAATAGAGCGCAACTTTGTTCTACCCAATCTGGCAGTGGTCCATACAGCAGCGAAACAATGAATTCAGGCAGATGTGGTTAGCACACCAATCTGACGGTGTAGCTGCACTACAGTGAAATAGTGATTCAGATTTGTGCACAATTTAAACTGATCCTCTGTTCCTTACTAACCGATTATTGGGTCGCTGCCCATCCCTCATTTTGATCGTGAGCGAACCAATTAACGAAACTTGTTCTCTCATTCGTGTGCGCCTCAGTACTGATCCGCAATCATTACTCCACACCCTATTGATTCCATTGTTTAGCATTTGATGTCAACGCGAGATTTCTACCTGTTCCCTTCCTTGCAGTCGTTCTAATGAAGCTGGCGGTCACCCAAACCCATGTGCACTCCCTGAAGATGAGGCGACCGATGATGAGGAGGAGGAACTGGATTTCGACACCTGGAGTTCCGCTGTGCACTACCAAGCCACTTTGGATGACCAGAGTAAGCCCTCGTCTTCCAACGGTGCGAATAAACGACGGCGCATTCGTCCGGATTCGTACTTTTCCGATGACGAAGAAGAGCTTGTGGACGATAGCTGACATCCCATCAGTGCACTGTTCCATCACCGAGTCACTGTGTATGACCGCCCAGAAATGAGCTTCCAGAGTACTGTTGTGTAAATATACGTTGTGTTTTTCCCTTCTGTAGATATTTTCCTCACAACACTAGTGGATGAGATGGGGATTTTTCAGCATATCTTTTATCGGTTTTCGGCCATACACGCGGTTGATGATATCTTCGATTGATCGAACGCCATTTGCAGGCCTTTGTTACACCCCACGGCCTATCATCACAGGATGGATGGCTATTGCAGAACTTCCATCTGAAGAAGGGACGACCACCAGTGTGAATTGAAAGGTGCTAATCAACAGGGCGAGCATCAGGGTGGATAAATATTGTGTCCTGGTGACTGATTTGACAGGTGTTCACTTCAAATTGGATTGCAGTCCTGATTGGAGTTGCCTGTCGTAACCCCTTCCCATAATGTGCTTCAAAATGTCACATCAGATTCAAACTTTGGAGTGCTTTCCCACGACATCTATGCATTTGAAGGGTTTGCTTCTCGCAGACATAATAACCCAGTGCATTTGTAGTCACGTATGTGTGTCGACTTATCCCAGGGAGCTGTGCGCAAGAATTCCGGAACTTACACACACGTGTCGCACCTTTCCAGGTATCAGTCTTAGTACGGTGAACAATGGTTAATCAGGGAGAAAAAGTAGATGTTTGACAAGCCCCGTTGGCTGTTTAGGATGAAAACGACTATATCTAAAGATGCGTGTCATCTGTTTAAGCGTCTATCGGGCGAATGCGCTGCTGTATGACTGTAGTGTAAAGTGAACATTGAATACAAACATATATCATGAGGACAATCGTAGATGATGTATTCTGTGTGAAAAATAAAATCAAGGACGCTCACCATGTGCCGGTTCCTTAGACTTAAGTGACATAAATCCGGTGTGAAGGCATGGTCAATATATTCCAAAGTAGCACGGCTTCGGGTTACGAAGTGATGGGGGCCAAGAGCACCATCCAATATATCCAAGGTACGCGAAGAGACAACTGAGTTTGGGAGGGAATTCCAAGATCAGAATATTCGAAGAGAAAAGTCAATTGTTAATTCCCCCTACCACGCAGTGGCTTGTAGAAATTCTTGAGCCGGTGAGACAACCGCTTGTGACTTACAGCCTACATGACAGTCTTCAGTTCCTCAAGAGCATCAAGGAGGCCAAAATTAATGAGAAAGTGATGCTCTCCTTTGATGTTGTCTCGCTTTTCACTAACATCCCGCTGATCGAAACCATCGATTACATTTCTGAGCACATAACGAAGTCGAAAATTAAAATTTGTATACCTGTGCCTGAGTTGAAAAACTTATTGCTGCGGTGCACATGGATTGTGCAATTTCTATTTAATGTTAAATTTTACCTGCAAAAGGACAAAGTATCCATGGGTTCCCCCCTCGGTCCGTTGTTCGCAGATATATTCATGGCAAAATTGGAACGAACAAATTTGCAAGCCTAGATCAAACCTTTTGACTACTACCACATTTATATGGATGAAATATTTGTAGTGGTGGATAAATGCATAAATCTTGATTAGGTTCTCGAGCGGTTTAACCGTGCCCACCCCGCACTGCAATTTACCTACAAGACAGAAACTTAACCGGCTTCCGTATCTAGATGCCTTGTTAACTAGGAGGCCAGCGGAGAGTCTATAGAAATGATACGTGGATTGGTCAGTACACGAATTTTCACAGTTTCCTTCCGCTGGGAAATAAGCGAAACTTAATCCACTGCATTGCCACAAGAGTACGTAGAATTTGCTCACAGGACACCCTGGATGAGGAACTAGCCTGTATAAAGAATAAACTGCGAGAGAATGGCTACCCTGATAAATTTGTTGCAAAGGATTTTGAAGAGAAATCCATGCCGGTACCAGTTTTAACCGCGGTAAAGGAGTTATTTTAAGATTACCTATTTAAGGGGACGCCGCTGACGAGTGCCTGACCAAAAGTCTTCCGGCGGTAGTCAACTCGACATTTCCAGCAGCCAAATTAAAGTGTACATTTTCTACTGAACCATTTGTATCATGTAGCTGTGCGGAAAGCAAGAATACTGGACCGCCATCACGAAGTCATTTATTGAGATTACGCTCAAATATTTATAATAGAGTACACACACTAATTACAACAGTCTGTCTCAATGGCTCATTCCTGCTTTTTGCATTGTATCGCTGGCTCCCTTTCCATTGGTTTATGCTTACTCGCGAGGTTCACTCTGTCTAAATCACCTTGGCTTTCTTAGTCGATATACGATTGGCGGGATTGGGCCCGCGGGCTTCTTCCCTCGGTCCAATGTCACAGGTCTTGGCTCAAGCGTGCACGAGTATGCACTCCTTCGTTTGCTGGTGCCAGATTGGTCACTTGCACGTTCAGTGGATAGTTGCATGGTGGTCGCGATTACGGGCCAACTATTTCGTGATTGGTTGACCAATCTGCTTCCGGCAACATGCTCACTCCTTATCGGTCTGGCATGTGACGTTCGATGGGCATATATATTGCGTTTCCAATCACCAACATTTCCAGCCCCCATCACAACTTGTTTGTTCACGCAATAAGGATATGCTGACTTCATCTATAACTATTTATCAGTTCAAGTGCGCATGTGACGCTACTTATATCCGTCGAACGGCATGGCACGTGTCCAAGCGCGTGAACGAGCGCTGCCCACGCTGGTTGCGTCAATGAGGAACTGGGGTCATTAGCAGCGCCGTTTTGGCCCATATTGTGAACACGGCACCAAGTTGATCTAAAGTGTGCCTTCAGGATAATTTACAGGGTCCCAGCATCAATCAAGCTGTTTGCACCTTGGTGAGCTCGCGACAGCTGAATCGGTTTGCCACCGGTCGCTTCAACCTTCTTTGTGCTCACAAAAGAAGTTGATCCATGCCTTACAGCTTCTCTGGCCAGCTAGAACGAACCATGCTGAGGTCGACTGCCGCAGATCAAGCTCGGTACTATGCAGTCGACCTGTCAGGTTAAAGGTCAACTTTTGGCGCCCCTCACTGAACCGTTAATGAACTATGTACTTTGAGCCAGTGGGTCGATTTCAGTTCTTTATTTTACCCTTAAATATGATTGTAATGGTCTGAAGAAAATCCTCGAAATCAACTGTTCACCTATGGTCTCGTGTTCTTTTGACTCTAAATGGGAATTTTCAAGTTGCCAAAAATAATTTCGTTGGCATTCTAGGTGACTGTTTTGTTCACTCATTTTCAAGCGGTAACCACTGGGATTAGTGTTGTGGCTGATTTTCAGCAACTGATGGCATACATGATTAGGGTCATTCAGTATTTGGTACACAAATATGAGATCACCGGGTAGTCTTCGATAGCATCCGCTGGCAATAGAGATTGTATAGACTCTTAACGTTCTTTGTAACCTTGCGTTATGGTGTATCTAGCACCTCTAGGTCGGGTTTCAACCAAGATTACCAAGCTTAGGTAGCGTATTCAAGGTGGGGGGCGCACGTACCAGTTGTGCACCACCGGGAGGATGAATGGGTTCTAATGACACGTCCGACTGCAGCGATACATTTTATTCACATAACTTGGAATTGCCGTAGATCATAGTTAACTGCCAATCACGCAGGTCCTCGGCTGTCACCCATGGCGAAGTGGCACTAGCTGCTGGCGTCTTGAAGTCATGGGGGCTGAACGCGGCAGGGGTCCGCTGGGACGGGACCCAGAAGGTCGAAACGCCGGCGTCTGGTGCTTTTCCAGACCAGCCTAAGCCTGCTGATTGGGAGTGACGATGATGAATTAGCTGAACTAAGTGATTTGATCATCATGCGAGACTGAACAACGATTTGGGCCAATCCAATAATATTCTTTAAACAGGCTAGGCGGGGTTGGGCAGCATGGTGAACATGTTCGAACCGATTTGATAGGTGTAGGAGCACGAACTCGGATTTGCGACCGGTAATCAAAGCGATCATCTTGCACATTGGTGCGATGTTTGGTGCGTCGCCTAAATTGCTTCTCTTGCGTAACCCATACTTCTAACCTCTACATTACCGTCTTCACTTTCGCCTGATGTAAAACGTCAAATTACCTACCTGTGCTGGAACCCGGTGCTGTCTGTTATATCCTGTTCCCTATATGTTTAAATTGATGGGTATGCACTCCTGCGATCATGGAATCCGTCCTTGTTCCCACCAATCCACCTTTACCGGGGACATTTGAGCTGCTGTAGCGTGCCATACGTGGGATAGTTGGACGCAGTTGTAACAAGTTAGCGTCTCGATGACTTTCACATACTGCCAGTTCGAAACTACTTCATCATCATGATTACACGTTAGCTGTAGGTGGAAAACACCTCAGCTATTGTGCCGCAATACAAAAGAAAAGAAAAGGAACACAGTGGCACGCCCGCTGAGTCCCCAATAACGGATGGACATCGTTCCGGAGAGCTAACAGCTGGCTGCCGTAAAAGAGAATCGTATTATGCCTAACAGGTGAGATCGTGATTGGAGGGGGATACTAAACAGGAGGAGGATGGACAAAGGAAATCGCAACACAAACGCCATTGGTGCCGATTCCACGCCAGATCAGCAAGTGTGTCCAACCAAACGTGTTCACCGTCCTTAGGACCCCAGCCAGGCAGTCGGGATGCACCAACCGACGCCAACTTCGAAGTGAGGGTTTTCATTTCTCTCGACCAAGTCATCACTTGGCCTCCCCTCCTCCTCTTCCAACCGCACCCACAACGCGCAAACAATGCACGTCGCGGGAGTCGGTGTACTGGCATGCGCAACACGTGGCCCAGCCATCGGAGCCTGGTGCGTGATATAATGGGGCTGAGCGGTTCACTCGCTCTTCCTGCACCAAATACGCGACGTCGAACACGCTCATTGCTCACGCGGTGTTCCCACCAGACCTGAGCTAAGCTGCGAAGGCAGCGATGATCGAATGTGACGAGCCTCTTCATGTCTGTCGACCTGATGGGCCAGGTTTCACACGCATATAGGAGAGTTGAACGGACGGCTGCGTTGTAAACTCTGCCCTTCAAGGAGAGAGTAATGTCGCGTCTGCGCCACAGGTGGCGGAGATTAGCAAAAGCACCTCGAGCTTTTGCTGTGC